TTGATGGGCTAGCCTCCCAGCTGGAAGGAGTTTAAGTACTATAGAACAAAGATCTACAATCGTCGAACTAGGATTAGACATCACCACACTGAAGGTACTCAAGCCATATTCCTCAATTCTTCATCTCTCTTTGATCATATTTAATGGCCCCTAACAAATATAATTTTATTAATATCAATTGATTCAATGATTATTATTACTATATATTATTTATTTTTTTTTTTTTGATTATATATTGATATATGTTTCCAAAAGTAACTCCAATCTTTCAAGTTGCTAGCCGACTTTAAATAATTTGTAACTTAGAAGTGCATTTGGCAGTCGGCGCCGGAAAATGGCGCTCCACTTGTCTCTGGGCGGGAATTTATGTTAATTGCTGGCATGTTGAATATTTTCTTCGCTCTTGCACTCAATTACACCAATTACAGCTGGAAATTACACGGGCTGCTTGCGAACGATAAAAGCAGGTGCCGAGGCTGCTGTAGCTGCTGCCACGTGAGGTGAACCGGAGTTCTTCTGAATGGCACGGAAGCTGCGAGATGCAAGAGCAGCGGGCACTCCACTCCGCTGGAGCCCGGACTTCTGCAGCTGCGCGCTGGCTAAGTTCTTGCAACTGTCATGAGTTAATCAAAGCATTTTGGACTTTTAATGAATATTTGCATAATAACAAGCAGCACCACGGCCACGGCCACCCAACCACACGGCGCTCTCATTTCCCTGGCCAACTCACATCCGCTTATATATGGCCGTCAATAAACGAGCGTAAGCAAACATTCGTATGCGTGTGTGTGCGTGTTAGTGTAAGCGGGTGTTGTGTTGCGTGAGCTGACAACACGTGACCGCCGTTAGCTGAGTTGTCGTCATTTTTGACATGGTTGCACACACACATACACACGCACGTATTTATATATAAGTATGCGCACATACACTCACGCAATGATTTATTACGCGTGATTGGCGTGATTGCCACTTTGATGCTTTATTTCATCTTCTCGTTGCTGTAACCGTATTTGGTCCCTCTATTTTGCGAACCCTCTCCCCTTCTCCACCCTCCGCCCTCTCTCGCACCGTGCTGCTGTTATTGCCAGCTCCTCATGCTCTGTTTGCGTTTTATCGCTTTTCGCAAATAAATTGGCTTTGTATTTCAATTACGAATGCGGCCTCCATCCTAGCGCGTATGCAACGTCCACATCGAACTCTCCCATCTCCCATCTTCCATCTCGCATCTCCCATCTCCCATCAGCCATAGATGAGAGACCAGGCCAACGACATCGACATGGTCTGCTTCCCATTGTTGCAGCGTTTTCCGAATTGGCTGCATTTTGGCGCTGCTGTTGACTCATTTGGCATGCCAGCCAACTGTGTTGTTGACATGTTGTTGCCAATGCCGGCGACATTTGATTTATGCCACATCTTAGCAGCCCTAGCCCAGGCAATTGTTGCTTCTAGCCCAATCGAACGCAATCGTAGGGCAGCGAGGCACAAGGAAATCGAAAGTAAATCGAAAAGACCCGCTTGCAAATAAATAATCGCATGGCCAAGCGTGCCCATTTGCATGAGACAAACAGAAATATTAAAAGTAAATAAGTCCCCATCGGAATGGATGCTTGCAAGCAAAAGTCAAAAGTCCAATAAGCAACTAAATAAACAGATCAAACAATTCTTTTGATGAAATAAAATATAATTTCACATTGTGAGTCAAATGATCTCATAGAGACTTTCATTATAGAACCAATCGATGGAAACCCTAACACATAAATATAAATTCAATTGAAACTGATACTGTATAGACGAATTCGGGATTTTTATTTGAGAACCAATATTTATTCAGCAGCTCAAAACTTAATATAAATTCATTTGATGGGCTAAAGGACTTTATGAGAAGTTTCATTTTGAAGCCGATAAACTATTTAGCAGTTATAATAAGTCTATATAAAATCATTAAACAATATAGAATGTGCCGTAGGTAAAATTCTCATAAATGGTAGGCCTTCATAAGCTCTTTTATTGTAGAACGAATAATTAATTATCCTACGGATACTTATTGGTGGTTTTTCTATATACATATATATTAAGTAATACTTTATATATAGTTATGGCAAAAATATGTACAAGTTAAATATCTAAATATGAATGCAGATATTTCAATATTTTACAGTTAAAGCTCTCTATTGCATATCCCAATCTATATATATATGCCTGTATATACTGTCTATCTGGCTGGCTTTAACACCAGTTCCCAGTTTAAGATTGCAGTTTTAGCTAGTTGCCTTTGCCACGCCCTCTTCCAGCCGCGTTGCCAAAGCCCTTGAGAGCGTGCCGCTGAGTGCTGCTTACAGCTTTTTGTTGTTGCTGTTGCAACTGTTTGTTGCTGCTGCCTCCTGCCCATGCTCTACCAATGCTTCTGCCGCTGGCCGAGAGATGGCGCGCGTGCCACGCTCAAGTGGCGTTTGTGCTTTGTGTAGTGTTCTCTAGTCCGCGCTCCATTCGAGGCTCCACGTTTCGAGTGCGCGACGTGCCTGCGCACAGCCAACAAGGATAACAATTACTCTAGAACCGTGTCCGTCAATTGTGTCCCAACTGTCTGGCTCACGCTTTTCGCTTTTCGCGTTTCTCATTTCGTTTTTCGTGTTTCGCTTCTCAGTTTTCGTTTCGTTTTATTTATTTTCAATTGTTTAGGGCTTAAATACTTTGTTCGGTTCCCCCTTAAACACATTTTTCTGCTCTCACATTCCCTTCAGTTCAGCAGGCAGCTGCTGCTGTTGCTGCTGTTCAGCATGTCACCAGCAGAGCTTCGTCTGGAGTCGGCTGTTTACTCTGGATGATGCATTGCAGCGCAATAATTTCACGTAGATGTCCGCGACATAAGTGCGGCCGCCCTGAAAGCGGGTCAGCTAGGCACAGCCATATCCACAGCCACAGCCATGGCCTTCGCTATAAACCATTCTCAGACTGCGTTACTCACTCGTTTAGTCTGCTCTGGGGCAATTGGCAGATGGGTGCCTCTGTCTCTCCGTCCCTTGTGGTAGAAGACAATTTAAGGCTATCTCCCAAGGCGAATTCGCGCTGCACTTTAGCCACCCTCCGCCCCCTCTCCAGCCATCTCTCACCTTGCAACTTTGCAACCTTTTCCTAGCCTTTAGCTATTCCCAGTGCTCTGCCTGCGCCGTTTGAGAGCTTCTTTTTTGCCCTGGCTTTGTCGGCGGCAATCAATGGAAGCAATTTGTGAGTCTCTTGTGCAATTCTATGAAATACAAACGAGCTCGATCCGCAGGCGCAACACTCACACACTCAGACACACATCATCTGAAGAGGTATTGGCAGCTAAGCGGATACGATAAAAATTCAATGCAAATCAAATATATATGGACGATGATTTGTAAATTCTCAAATTTATCACATACATGGCATAAGAAGAAGCAACAACAGCAAATAAGCTGCCCCGCTGTGCCCTGCCCCTTCCCCACCCATACACACACAATGCTTGCACCTGCTACCCACACCTTCCATACGCTGAGTAGGTGCTAAGCAAACATGCAAGCCGTGGGGATTATAACAGGGAATACTCGTTTGCTCTACACAAAAAAGGCGAGCCCGACACGCCCAAACACAACAAAAGAATCAACAACAACTCAAGAAACAACAACAACAACAACAATAGGGAACATCAGCAAAGCAAACGCGCAAAACATTGAGTCCCAGTGCAGGGACCCCTCACTGTGTGCGTGTGTGTGTGAGCTTAGCTAAAATGGGATCCTTGCGTTATCCTTGTGGTTGTATGTAGTTGCCTCGACGCCAGTTATACGGCCACCTACTTAAGCATAATGATATATTTAGCTTGCCAAGTGATTGTTATTTGATATTCAACAGATTTCTACTTGCTTTCTTTTTGCTTTGCATTCGCATCCTTCCTCCGCCTCATGCCCCTGCCCCAAACACCCGCTAAGCAATACGCAGGACTTTCACCTCTCTTATCCAACTCGATGTGTGTGTGTGTGTGTGTGTGGCTGCTGTTGTCATTATTTCTTAAGCTCCACTACTTCAGTTGCCATTAAGATGTTCGCTCGAGTATCTGAAGGGTTTTGTGTGAATAGTGCGTATACGTAATGTGCGTTCAGCAGATTTATTGTCGGCCTCTTTGGGTAACTAAA